ATCTCCCAGACACAGTGCTGGCAGCAGACATTGGCCGGGAGATGGCCATGTATAAAGACTGGGAGACATTTGTTGACACTTGGTGACGGAAGGGGGTGTGTATGGACTCTAACTCATGGGATTCCTCAACAGGACTTTTCAAGGGGCTTTTCTTTGCAGTGACATGCCCTTAACCATTCCATTTTAATGATCTCCCTCTCATCTCCCTCTTCCAATTCTTTGCTATATTTTTTTCTTCTCCCTTTCTGACAGTCTACATACTTATTTGAGTTTACTTTCTGCCTCCGACTAGACGGTAATTGAAAAGAGAAGGAAGTTGAGCCTCAATGAACATAGAGTCTGTGATGATGCCACCATTGTCTGTCCCTGGTGGCAGGCAGAGCATGGATGCAAGTGTTCAGTGACCCTCCCTTGAAAGGACACCACCTAATGAATTATCTGTTAACCCCGTGGCTGTGTGCCCATTGCTCGCTTATGTAACTCTGCCCGGCTATAGTCAATTGGGAAACAGGGCAGATTCTGTCTCGCTCTTCTGATGTGGTGTGGAGATGAGTGCTACATGACAGCCCATCAACTTTCTTAGTGGAATGAGAGAGGTAAGAATCAAAAGGCTTCCAGGTATTTATACAAACAGAGCAGGCCTTAACAAGCACCATCTCTGAGAAATCCGTTCACTTCCATCCTTTTCTGCAGATATGGAAAATAATCCCAGGCAGCAATATTATGCTTCCATGGTTACAGAGAGTGTTATGCTTTTCGAGGACCAAACATCATTTTGAGCCTTGCCAACCATGTTTCTGAACATGCGCTGCTTGAAATCAGGCCAGCCAAGCAGAACCAAAGTAATTTACTTGGACCAAATCCGTCTTACGGGAGAAGCTAACCAATGAGGCAAACCCATGTGTTAGTGACACCCACTGAGGCTTGGTCCTCACTGAACTGTGCAGGAAGTTACTTTACGGGGATACAGTGTGATGGAAGTGTTGAAAGTACTGGCTGCCGTACCCTTTTGCTTCCAGACGCCTATTTCCACAGGAAAGTGGACTGACTGTCCTGGGCCAACACTCCTTGCTAATACAAGTGGGTAACACGCCACTTGAACTTCCTAAGGTTCCTCTCATGACTCGGTAGCCAATCTGAATGGAGTTCCTGGAGCAGAATGTGGTACGGAACAACATTCAACCAAAGCGATTCGTATTGTTAGGTACTGCGGAGCCCTTTCAGTAACTTCAAGTTTTTGCCAGATGGCTCCCTCGAAGTTAGTCTGATTCCTAGAGTGCTGCAACTCACAAGGACACTATCTAACAATCTCAACAGGCATGCCTTTGCCATTACTAACAGCACACAGGGACCGCAGCGCTCATGGAGAGCAAGCCTTGATTTTCTTTATCTAGACACACAGTCTACTTCTAAATAAGGGCCAGAGTTAGGAAAGAGAAATTTCCCCCTAAAGATTTTGCTTGTTGCTGTGTGTGCGGCCTTTGAGATGGGGTCATCTTATAGAGCCCAGGCTGCAATGCATATGGGCACAGTGCTTAGGCATATTCCTTCCCCCCACTTCCGGGGTCTCCTGGTGGCATTGAGCAGTGCCATCTCTAGAGATGGGTACCGAGTGTGAGGAGATCATAAAAGCAGCAGCTGCATGTTGAATCCGAAACATCTGGTTTTGATGGCAACAGACGATGCAGCAGTCAGAGGAATACACTGTGTTTAGAGAGGGGCAGCCTGCATGTCTAACCTTGGGGACTCACAGAATGTTTGAAAACTTAAGGGCTGGGGATGTAACTAACTCAGCGACAGAGTGACTGTCTAGCATCTGGTTTTAATCCTCGGTACTGAAAGAAACCAGCAAAGAAGCAAACAGGGCAGAGACTATACTTGTATCCCTTGCCCTATAAAACAAAACAGGGGGAAATAATTAGACATAAAATTATACAAATAATATTCTGAATTCTAAAGGGAGGGAAGGGAAGCGATCTTAGCTTGGGTGAGACCAACGAAGGCCTCATTTACGAGATGAGCCACAGTAAAAATGGGATGGATATAGGGATGGTATCCAAGGGGGGTTGGAGAAGGACAATCCTGTGGCACCACTGCCATTCCAGTTTGTGTATGCTGTGACCTTCATACACAGTATCCCAGCCTAACGGCGTATTTCTTAGAATGTGTCATGCCATGGCAATACACATGACTGTGGATGGGAAAGAAGGGTGTTTTGGCCTGGAGAATGAGGGAGAGCTACAGGTAAATTTCTGCTTAGAAACAATGGCAAGGGTCTGGAAGTCTGTGTACAAACTCAACTGGCCTTGTAGGTAAGCTGTTTCTTTGAGCTTTCAAGGAGCATCCCGAAGCACAGTTGACTCAGGACCACTAAAACAGACCCAGGTAGGGACTGCCTGACACCACAAGCAATGAAAAGGGCATTAAGAAATTCATGTTACAGCTTATCTACTGCTAACTACATAGTCCCCTGGTATGGGAAGGGTGATAGATTTATCAGCGCACTTGGAACACAGCAAATATCAGGCTAGGACCGTAACGGGCTGACACTGAAGAGTTAATTTGCTCTAAAGAAATTCACCTTCTTTCCCAGGCCCAGACACTGTGGAAGATCTTATCAAGACCGCGCATGGACTACATCATGTTCAAACAGTCTGGCTTCATTATTTGAAATACTTTAAAAAAAAAAAAAAGAAGAAGATGCCATTTTCTTGGTTATTTCCATTTTTTCTGTTACATCTTTCTTCAACATGAAAACCAAAAAGGCCCTCTGACCTTTAGTGCTAAGAACAGAAGTTAAAGCTTCATGCATGGTGTCAGTCAAGGACTCTACCACCGAGCTATATTCTTAGCCCTTCATGGTGTCTTTGTTTAAGCTTCATAGATACTTCTTTAGGTCTCAAAAGAAATTAAAGCCTTAAAATAAACATACGAACATGGTGAAAACGATTGTATAATTAAAATAAACAATGAAAAAAGAGGAAGAGGCCATTCTCTGGAGATGTCCTCTCTCAGGAGAGACATTAGTAGCTTCAGATTTACATAAAGGGCAACAGAGATAACGGAAAGCCTATCTTCTCCTCTCAACATCTTAATGTTGCTGTCCAGAGAATTACTCCCATCTTGAGTAACCATGGTAACTTGAAGAGCTGGATTCTAACAATGCTTGGGAAAACATGAGAGGGGACACTTCAGAAGGGCAATGTGGTTTCCATCTATGCCCAAGCAGCAGGGATAACAAGATGCCTAGCTAGGAACTAGAAAGCCAAGAGTCTCCCTGAAGTTCAACAACAGAATCTGGAAGGAAAACACCTTAGAACTCAGCTCATCTAATTCCTTGGTTTTAACAAAGAAAATGAGGCTTGGAGGCTGTCTGGTTTGATCAGGGTCATCTAGTGTTTGGTAGAAATAAAATCTCTTAGTGGTCCTGACTCAGAACACTGTCCAACATCTGCTACTAGTTTCTAATTCAGGAAGTCCCTATACAAGGAAGAGGTCCAGTAACCATTTTCTGCCAATCCATGTCTCTATCATTTTCCCACTTGCTTTCACTATGGATATTTTCAAATATCAACCAGTAGAGACAAAAAAAAAAAACCACTTTCAAGCATACTACTGTCTACAAATGTCAATGGAACCCTCCACCATAATACTTTAACAACTTCCCTTCTCCAAGAGAATTTTGAAACAATTCTCAGGTATCACTATTGTTCATTAGACAGCAAATATTCAAATTTTCTGCCTTAGCGTGAAGCAGAGACACTCGTCTCTAGGGATCTTTGGTTTCCCCATTGCACACAATTGTGCTGTGTCTAGTATTTTCTATTCTGTTCACAGGTAGTCTTACCTAGCCAATAATATCTGCCCTGTGATCCTGCACACGTGGAGAGTTTTGATAAAGGGATCATTTTGGCTAGTAAGCATGGAGAAAGCTGAGCTTTTATCAAGAGATAAATGCCTGTTGTCCTTACACAAAATTCCATGGACTCTTAGCATTTTTTTTTGTTTGTTTGTTTAACTTAGAATTGAAACTACACTCCCCAACCCCAAAGTCCATGTGAAAGGTACCAAGCCATGGCATTCTTTTGATTTCTTTTTCCTCATACGGGGTCTTTTTTTTATTCATTCTTTTACTTTGGTGTAGGGTCTTGTTATACAACCCAGGCTCATAATTCTCTCACGTTATGCTTTGATGGGCTGGTACACATGCCATCATGCCCAAACCCAATGTAATTCTAGATGTTCAATAAATCCATAAAGTCAGTGACAATAAAATAATTTCCCATCATCTTTTCTAAGAGACCGTTGTTTTGTTCTAAGGGCAGGATAGGTATTTAAGATTAAATAACAAATACATCAACACTTCCTTTCATCTAGTCACTTAAACCTGTCTCTTAAAAAAAAAACAACAACAAAGAGGACATTTAAAAAAACAAAACAAAGTAAAAAACAAAACAACAACACCAACAAAAAACCCAAGAAGTTCTGAGCCAGGGGTGGCGATGCACACCTGTAATCTAACACTTAGGGGATGAAGTCAGGAGGATCAGGAGTTCAAGGCTAACCATGGCTATGCATTAAGTGCAAGGCCAGCCTGTAACAAGATCCTGCTCAAAGACAAATAAAGGGCAATTCAACAAATATGTCTCTACTAGGAGCAGTAGGGAGATGGCATATGACTATGTATGTGTGGGAACAAAACTGAAATGGGCGCTTGAAGACATGACACTGACGGACACCTTCTCCACCTCTAACCCCCCTGCTATGTCACATGCTGGCATCCATATGGATTTACAGAAATATATTTAATATCAGGCTACACTCGAAAGTTAAAGTCAGAATAAATTGGAGATAGCTGACCTGTTTTACCTTTAAGTGACATGATTTCAATTTAAGTACGAATGCAAATTCCTTCAGAAAAACAATTCCATGAAGCACATTATTCAACTGGTTGAAATGGTAACAGTTTACCCATTTTGCAATCGGGAGAGACGTCTTACCTGCGGAGGTTTCTCTAAATTTGTCACTGGTCTTCTTCTTCCTCCATTTCCAAGGCTTGAAGATTTTACCAATGGTGGACAGTTTCCCCTTCCTCTTGAAGGGAGGTGTCTGGGGATTTTGAGGATTTTCTGGGGGCCCATCTGGGTTTGCTATGGAGGCTTTGTCTAGTCCATCAACTGTGTTAAAAAAAAAAAGTGAAGTTAGAGGAAAGTTGTAATAAAAGTTTGAAACAACATTATCTGTCTTTTCTTGGAATGTTAACAGCAACCCTGCCTGTTTTTTTTTTTTTTAAATATCACGTAAGGTCTGCTTTGTCCCATTCTGCAGCTGGTAGGACTCCCTTGATATCAATCAGGGACTCAATCAATCATAAGTTATAGTTCCCCTAGGTAATCATTTTGGGGAAACAGAAAAGGAGTGAATGACTTACATAATAGTTAGGGCCAGACAAATAAAGGCCCATGAATCACAGCTGAGCCCATCTGCAACAATACATCAATATTTTGTGCAGGAATCCAATACTCTCAGTATCCCTGAAATAGGATGCTCCTCCAAGACTAGTTTGGCATTCCCAACAACGACTTCACCGTCATGACACTGTGAAAGCTATATTATTTTTCTCCACAAAAGGAAGTTTGGTGCCAGGAGACTAAACTCTATTTTTATAATGCTAACACTATGGTGTACTTCGGTTACAGCAAGGTCTTCAGCCTCAAATAAACTGATGGCTATCATTAATGAGAAGAAATATCTAGAAAACGTGGCTATGGCATGTGACATACATTAGCTTCATGTGCCTTCAATATTTGATCATTAAGAAAGGCACACTCTAAAGTTGCCTCACACTATGTTCTAAACAGAAGGCAATAATCATAGCTTACATCACCCCAACTCCAAATCCCAGAGGACTCCCACAATGACAAACTATGGTATTAGTAAATTCGCTAAAATAGCACTCGTTCTTTTTATAAAATAGTTGTATGGACAAATACATAATCAGTTAGATGCAACAAAATATTAAGTGTTGAATCTAGGTAGCAGATACACGGAGTGTTCAAGTCTTTCATCTCCTCTGCAGTTCTGGAAACGTTCATAAAAAAATATTAAGGGGAAAAACAAATACAAATAGAATTTGTATAGAAAAGATTTCCCCTTAGTGAAAGATAAGGCAGACCTACACTTTACATTACTCTTGCTGAAACCATTGCATAAATCCATTCATACAAACAATATGAGTACATTTCAAAAATATCAAGCTGAAAAGGCTGCACAGAAAGAATGCACTGTGTGGTTCTATTTTTATAAAATTTGAAAGTAGGCAAAACGAACCAATAGCAAAATTTTAAAAGAAGAAGAAGAAGAAGAAGAAGAAGAAGAAAAAATCATTGGGAATTAACTGAGGGGATGAAGAACTGGGGGAGACAGAATTTATCCCGGTATTGGCTGTATTATGACACATGTTTATGACTTCTGTGCATTTCACTTTATCTAAGATTAATCTTAGGAAACTTGTAGGGTGAAGTCTAACTGATACATTGCTGAAATGATAATGGGTGAATTGTGCTGATATCCATCAAAAACCAATGAACAGACAGAATGAGCAGATGGATAAAGACCCAAATATCAGGATGCTCAGTTGTTGATGCTATATGGTAAATATGTGAATATAAAATGAAATGCTTTTATGCTTTGTATATCTTTCAAAACTTCCATCATAAAAATATCTGGGGGGAGGGGACAAAGAATAACTAAAATCAAATAGCAGGCAATGCTTCACTTCAAGGAAGACACTTTTATTCCTGTTCCTCTTGGTAAGTACAACCTAGAAAGCAGCAACAATCCTGCATGCTACAGACTTTTTGTTTGTTTGCTTTGTTTTCCGAGACAGGGTTTCTCTGTATTGCTTTGGATCCTGTCCTGTTACTAGCGTTGTAGACCAGGCTGGCCTTGAACTCACAGAGATCTGCCTGCCTCTGCCTCCCGAGTGCTGGGATTAAAGTCGTGTGCCACCAACGCCCAGCGCTACAGATTTTTTTAAATGATTGTGAAGTACAGAGCAAGCAGACCACACTAAGATCCCAGACTCTAATAAACAATAAAAACATAGGACCAATAGGTTCTATTTTTCTCCCCACATATCTCAGTCTCATAGCTATAATACACCAGGAATACCAGTGGGCATGGGCCAAAAGAGGCTTAAATAAAAGCTTGCTCCTTCCAGACATCAGAAAGGGGGAAAAAAAAAACGACAACCTAAGAAGACAGAAAAGTGTAGACCACAACTATTCTGCTCTGGGCAAACACACACAGAGGAAACTGTGATCCTGCACGGCAGCAACAGCGACAGGCAGGAATGAGACTTTGACTCTCATGAGCCTCCAGAAAAGATCCGGGTAGCTCTGCCAGAGTCCTGCTAACTAAAGACAAAACAGGAAGACCTTCCTGTCTATGTAAGGACACATCCCTCCACAGTGTCAATGGAAACTACATGTGAAGCCTAGACTTTTACCCCATCAAGCAGCTGGGTCTCTGTGAACCCCTGTCCTGTGGGAATTCTAGCCCTGCCCTAGGTATGAATGAGGACCTTCATATATAGGGTGTCAACAAGAACGTAAGCAGAGAAGCTGGATTTTCACCTCTGTGCAAGAGTGGCAAGCTGGCAGCCATTGCTCACTTCCTGGAGAAGTGTTAGATGAAGTCAGTGGAAGCAGAAGGTTTAAATAAGATGTAGAGTCTCATGACATAATAATACACAAAGAGTTCAAGTTTTGATTAAAAAAAAATCCCCTGACGTATCAAGAGCCAAGAAAATTTCAAACTGAATGAAAAACATCAATCAAAAGTTACCAACATTTGGGTACCGGATGAATTTTCCTTCCAGATGCATATGGTAGGCAATGCTAATACTTCTTCCTTGTAATCCCAAGTGCCGCCTAGGCAGAGGTGTCTGCAAGTGGCCCTAACCCTGCTTTCAGCCATGCCACAATAGAAAGAGATGCAGGGGTGGCAGTCTGTACATTAACTGAGAGGAAAGCCCCAGGAGACGAATGGAATCTTCACTTCTACTCCCATTCAGTCGCTTCCTACAGGACAACCCCACAGGGGAAGCAAGTGGCTGCCTTTTCTTCTTCATGAAGCTTTATACTGAGATCTCACAGAAAAGATCGATTCTGAGCAACTGAATATTGTAAAGCACCATAAAAGGGCTGGCGCATGCAAACAGAGTAAGTGATGTTTCCATCCGAAATCCATCTCTATCACTACGGACCAACGTCTAGCCCTCACTTTCTTACATTGGAAAGTGAATATCCTCATCCAGACCACATACTTGGGTCTTTGACACAACATAAAAACGGTGATTTCCACCTGAACCACTCAAGCTTGATCTATTTTGCTCTTGTAAATAAAAATAAAGTTTTAAAAAAAAACAAAAACGCAGCAATTTCCTTGATGACACAGGGTCGTGACAGTTGTTGAGTGCGAAATGACTCAGAGTTAAATTCTTGACTGCATACAGGATGAATGACACTGTCTTTTTTTTTTTTTTTAATTGTGACTTCAGTACGATCCTTATCTAAAGTAGCAAAGGCAGAGGCCAATGCCAGCAGAATTGGGGTGTGTGCATAAGTTTGTGTATCCCCTCCGGCTAAAAGAATCTCCTTGTGGTTTTTTATAACCGGTAGACTCTTACTGAAAACCACCCTTGCTGTTATAGACCGTATGATGGCACAGCTGGACAAATGACATCGTACTTCCCTTAAAACATGTCAGGGAAGAGAATTGTCACTGGCTTTGGAGAAATATGGGCAGAATATCTTCTCCAGACACCTGGAAATTAGTAGCACCACTGATATTTCTATGATTTTTTTTCTTTTGAATAAAGTTACCATCAAAAAACCCTTTGAAATTTTCTATAAATTTTTCCATTTCAGCCCAACCGAGCTTGCATTTACACACAGAGAAGAAAAACAAAAAAAAAGAAAAAGAAAAAGAAAAAAGAAAAAAAAAGATAGCTAGGCCATATCTAGGTATTTTTAATTTTAATTCATCTACATTTCTGTTATTTTCCTTTTTCTCTTGTTAAGAAACTTATGTTCCTATGTAGGCCAGGTTGGCCTTGAACTCATAATCCTCTTTCCCCAGTCTCCCAAGTGCTGGGATTATGAAGTGTACTATCACATGCAACAATGCTCTACTTTCCTGTCCATCATTACCTTCTGGTTCATACTAGAGACCTACATTTTTAAATATAGCATATTATGAGATGCAGTTCTGGGCTTCTTGAATATGGAAATTTTGCACGACATAGCTCTAGCATTTTCCTAGTGAAATAAGTCTACACCATAACACTTCCTCATGTTGTCAACTGGTAAGACTTCAAAGAGCACATGTAGATTTTATTTTAATTTAAACAAGCAATCTCAGTACAAAGTGACCATATGGGTCACAAAAATAAATGAAGCTAGATTATTATTACGTTAAAATTATGAACTTTGGTTTCTTTCCTCTGAAATCTAAGAGAAGACAGGGCTTCTTAGAAAAGGTCAACTATTTAATAGGAGAGTTTATAGGTTGTTAAGATCAATATTTTGTGTTTTATGATATGTCAGACACTGATTTTCCTGCACACAATCACTTCAGTCCCCGAGGAAATGAGGCACAATCTTCCATTCATAAATCTGGTCGCTGAAAGGTCACCTAGAAGAGAGCCCTATGAAAGACCTCCTGGTGCCGACTTGGGGCAAGCTGGCAGCCACCCTTTGAAAACGTAGTTTTAAAGGATGGTCTCAACTTTCTCTAAATACCCTTAAACCCTTGCAGGTGAAATTTAATGAATTTCAAAAGTCCAATAAGAACAAATCCGGACAGAGACCATGTGCGTAAATGCATCTCTCTAAGTTTGAGCTTTGAGAAAGCTAAATAGCCCAAACAAAAATAAGCAAACCAATCTGTACTTGCTTAAAATATTGTTGCTGAGACACCTTTCCCTTTTTATACATATCCATGATTGTTTAACCATTATGATTATATTAAAAATTTCACTGCATATTTCTACCATGTTTTCCATATGTCCATAAAGTTGTACCATTCACATGGTACATGGAGCATTTGGTAAAAAAATATGGAAAAGTGTATTGGGAAGATTTAATATAGCCCCTCCATTCAGCTGAAGCAA